CTCGTGGAGGAATCGTAAGACCAATTACGGTCCATGAAGTACCTTGCAGCTGTCTGGGATTCTGGTGCAGCTGCTTAAAGGTTTAAGGGAGATGAGTATTATTGACTTGGAGAAGGAACCGTGATTTAAAACAGTGAGTGAAAAACACATACTGTGATTCCTGTGCTGATCAGTCATGCTTTGGAAACCCCTTCCTTTGGGAAAAACGCTGTGTGTGAGAGGCGGTGTCTGGTTCCCAATCATAGCAGTCGTGGTGGGGGACGCCTCTCCCGCCCCTCCTCCTGCCAGCTAGGGCACGGCGAGGCTCAGCCAATGAGAGGACTTCCCCGGAGTCTGCAGCTTCAGCCTGTGCCGTCAAGTGGAGGGGCAGTCGCTAGATTCTCAGCTCCTGGCCTTTCTCTCAGTAGTGGCAGCTGGGTTTACTCTACCCAGTCTCACTTGGTTCCTGCGCTTTATGCTAGGGTCACAGCCAGGCGTAGTCTGCCGCTGAGCTACCGCCTTGCAGTCCTCCAGCCTCGCCCTGCCGAGTAGCTGGGGTTACAGGCACGTGCAACTGTGCCCAGCACCATTTCACCCATTTTCCAATGTACAGTTCAGTGCTATTAAGTATATTCATAATAAAGGGTAAAAGGTATGTTCATAATGTGCAGTCATCACCGCCGTCTATCTCCGTAATTCTTTTCATCTTGTAAAACTGAAACACTTTAGTGTGGTGGTACACACTCAGTTCCAGCTACTGAGGAGGCTGAGGCAGACGGATGGCAGATGTGAAGGCATTAGCCTGGGGAATAGAGTGAGACCCTGACTCAGAGTGCATCAGGGCTGGGAATGTAGCTCAGCGCCTTACAGCCTCGATTCCTGGTACTTCGGGGAGGAAAAAAAATGGCAGCTGTGCTTATTAAAACAGTAGTGCCTTGTTCTTCCCCCTCCAGCCCAGACCCTGCCCTGGCAACCAGCTTCTCTTACTTTCTGTCTCTGAGCTTGGGTTTTGTTTTGTTTTAGTCTGACTGTGAATCCCAGGCTAGCTTCAGGCCCTGTGGTGCGGAGATCGTGGGCAGGCTCCGCCATGCTGTTACCAGGTAGTTCCTTCTGAAAGTGGCTCGGCCATTAAATGTTACCAGGTTTTGGGTTCCTCACCTCTCCGTCTGGAGTTGGATTCCAGGATCTTCTCCTGTTGAGCAAAGAATTGAACAACACGAGGAAAAAGCAGTAGCAAAGTTTATTTGAAAAAGGAGAAAGAGTGAGGGGGAAACTAGCTCTTCAGAGTGAGCTTGGGCCGAGTAAAAGAGCAAAACGCAAGATAAAAGTACACCCTGGAGGTTACAGGGCAGGAAAGGCACAATAGCAAGATCTTCTTGGTGTCTGTTTTTTATATTGTCCAAATCTGGAGGAAACCTGTGAGAACTTCTTCATCCAGGTTCTGAGAGGCGGTGCTAGGATCCCATGCCTCAGACCGATGTCAGATCCAGGCCATCCTGTTGAAAACCTGCTCCAGTTTCGCTAGAAGTCTATGAGCAGAGCTTTTGGAACTATTCTGCACATGTGTTCTGGGATCTTGTGATTAACAGGTCACACCTATTTCCCTAGCCAGTTTTGTTACCTCCTGATCTCCTATGACAGTGCCTGCCTGGAGCCTGGTTCTTAAGTAGCCACCTTATTTTTTTTTCAACTTAGCCAGTGGTTTCTTTCTTTCTTTCTTTTTTTTCTTTTTTTTTTTTTTTTTTTTTTTTTTTTTTTTTTTTTTTTTTTTTTTTTTTTTTTTTTTTTGTCTTTTTTGAGACAGGGTCTCGCTATGCAGTTCATGCTGGCCTTGAGCTCACTTTGTAGCTCAGGCTGGCCTTTTTTTTTTTTTGTCTTTTTGAGACAGGGTCTCACTATGCAGTTCAGGCTGACCTTGAGCTCACTTTGTAGCCCAGGCTGGTCTCGAACTTGCAACGATCCTCCTGCCTCAGCCTCCCAAGTTCTGGAATTACAGACATGTACCACCACGCCCGGCTTCCAGGCTGGTCTCAAACTTGCAACAGTCCTCCTGCCTCAGCCTCCTGAGTGCTGGGATTACAGGCGTGCACCACTATGCCGGGCTAGCCAGTGGTTTCTGTGGCTACTACCCAAGAACTCTGACTTAAACCTCATTTCTTTGTTTAAAATAAAAACATAGTGCTCACTTTGACAACACATACACTAAAATTGAAATGATACAGAGATTAGCATGAGCCCTGCTCAAGGATGACATGTAAATTCATGAAGCGTCTCATATTTTTAATAAATCAGATACACACGTTTTAATATCGCATGGTTTCTCTTATATAAGAAACCCAAAATATAGCCAGCCATGGTGGTGCACACCTGTAATCCCAGCACTCGTGAGGCTGAGGCAGGAGGATCGCCATGAATTCAAGGCTAGCCTGGGCTACATAGTGAGACCCTGTCTCAAAAAAAAAAAAAAAAAAGAAAAAAGAAAAACCCAAAATATAAATAAAGAGCAAAATAAAAGATAGGAAATAGGGAGATCTTCCTAAAAGTGGAAAGGGATCAAAGATGGAGGGCAGAAGGGAGGGAAAAGGGATGTAAAAAGGAGTTAACATGTATTATGTACTTGCACCAGGGCTACACGAGGAATGTAAACATTGTGTGCTATAAACCTGTACTAATTTAAAAAAACGTGAAGCTAGGAGGGTTGTGCATACTTGTAATGCCAACATTCTGGGAGGCTGAGGGGGGATGGGAAGTTTGAACCCATCTGGGCAATTTAACAAGACCTGTCTCAAATACTGAAAAAAGGGCTTGGAGCTAGGTGTGGTGGTGCAGACAGGAGGCTGAGGCAGGAAGATCTCTCTGAGTTTGAGGCCAGGCTGTGCTACAGAGCAAGACCCTATCTCAAAAAAACAGAAAATGGAGGAGGATGTCTCAAATGGGTTTGACCCCCAATACCACTAAATAAATGTTACTTTTTTGTAGCTATCTGTAACAGTTTCAAAGGGCTGCATTCCAATGGCTACATACCGCTGGCTTTTATCAAGGCCTTGAGATTTTCAGAAGTGGGTAAACAGGTGTTGGCATGGGATGTAAGAAAAGTTTGCTTTACTTTAGGTACCTTTGGTTTGAGTTTCATTGAAATGAACACATACTTTATTAATTCAGATGCCTGCAGAGTAGAGAACATTTTCAGAATGGAAAAGTTGCTGGTAACATTCCCTAAGCTACTTTACATTATTGTGAAAGACGGTGGGAAAGATCAAACACAGTAGGAAATGCAGAAATGTTCTTAAAATTATTAAGTGCTATTGGGATATGATGAAGTAGAAATGGAAATAATGACTTTTTAAAGTGTCATTTCAGTAAAGAGGTAAAAGGCATTTTGGAGGAAGATACGGAAATAAGTGCTCATAAAGCCAGAGGCATGGACATCAGTTATTCATTGATTTGGCAGTGAAAGGCTGAGGAGAAATTAGATAATGGTGTAGATTTCCTTAACTTTTTAATTTAAAATTTTTCTAACTTGAAAGTATCATAAATGACAATGTTAGCCTAACTCTGAATTCAGTAGCTCTCAACATTGTGGTACATTTACTTTCTCCCTGTTTCCTATGTACATTTTTTGTTGTTGCTGAACCATTTGGAAGCAAGTTGCAGGGATCATGAAATGATCTCAAAGATGTCTGTATGTGTCTTTATGGGACAGTCTCCTGCTACATATTAACAGAGTGGTGGGCAAGGCAGTGCACACCTATTTTACCCACACTCTGGGAAGTTAAGGCAGAAGGATAGGGAGTTCAAGCCCAGCCTGGGCAACCTGGTGACTTAGTGAAACCCTCTCTCAAAATAAATAAAAAGAATCTGGGCGCGGTGTTGCACACCTGTAACCCGAGCACTTTGGGGAGCTGAAGCAGGATAAGTGCAAATTCAAGCGCAGCCTGGGCAATTTAGCGACTCAGTGAGACCCTGTCTCAGAGAGAAGGGTGGGGGCCTGGGAATCTTAACCCCTAGCACTGCAAAAACAAAAAAATCATAGTACACTTAAGGAAATTAATAACTCAGCAATATCTTTATGTGTGAATACGTGTGTCGCTGGGAGTCAAGCTCAGAGCCTTATACGTGCTAAGCAGTGCTCTACCACTGAGCTACATCTCCAGCCCACAATGTCTTCTGATGGTCCATATTCAAATTTCTCCAGTTCTAAAAATATACTTCTGGTAGAAAATTTTATTTCCTCAATCAAGGTCCATTCAGTTTGGTTATTATGGCTCAGTAGTCTATCTGTCCCCCCTCTATCTTTTTTTTTTTTT